GTTTCGGGAGTCTAGAGGAGGTTACTGTCCTCATACAGTAAACTCATTAGACAACTTCTGGAACCAGCTGTTTTAATTAGGTCACAGCAGATCCCGCTGAAGGACAGTGAGGTGACTGCCAGCTGCAGTTGGTTGATATAGTTCATACCAACCTGCAAAGCTGCTGAATGCCCTGAATGGGTGTGTTCTTCATCCCATTTACTGATCAGTTTATTTAGAGGAGCAGCAGCCATTTAATTGTTTCTTCTGGTTAGATGTTATTGGTAGTTCAGCTTTGTGTTGGGGGAAGAGGTTTGACTATCAGAAAACAATGGAAAAGTGGGTGTTCCCTTCATTAACATGTCTTCCTGGTTTGTGTTGGAGAGATTGTGTGCTCTCTGCTTTATGTTATGGCAGTTTACACATTTAGGAGGAAAATTTCAGGATTTCTATTCGTTTAGTTTGTATTTATGGAAAAGACCCAAATAAATCCTTTCCTTTTGCATAGTATTTAAAATATAAATGTAGATACTGTATATACCTTTACATGCATACATACACAGACACACAGCGAGAGAAATGTGTATTTAATGGCCAAGGTTACTAAAGCTATGTTTTGTTATCAAAAGAAAAGTGATGAAACAAAGAATTTGCTGACCCTGTTGGTTACTTATCTTTTTCATTTGTAGTGTATATAATTATGATACTAGCTTATATGGTGTATATTCTATGTCAGATTTTTTTCCCAAGAACTTTTAATTATAAAATATGTGGTCAGCTGAATACTGATTACTTTTTAAAATCTTCTGTTTAACCCTTCCCTGTTTATTTTCCAGATATGAGGCCCCAGGATTCCTGGCGAGGTCCTCCTCCTCTTTTCCAGCCACAAAGATTTGACAGGTAATATTAAAGCATGACTTTTAAATATTTTCTCATATCAACATTTTGGGGTTATGGGCTTTTTAGAAACTGTAACCTCCATAGTTTGAAATAGACTTTTTCCCACCAAGAACAATTTCTCTTGCGCTTGTCCTTTAGGAAAATAAGTAACTAATACTTTTGAATTAAAAGACTCGTGTTTATATACTTTCCTACTTTTCTTGGTTCTTGGCCCTTATTTTTTTGATGCTTTTGAGATGACCTAAAAAATGCAACACAGAGAGCTTAAAACTGTATTAGGTTTTGGTCAGACTAAACAAATTTCTTTTTAGAAGGGTTGTGCAGCTTAATGAGGCATAACTAATGGTGTTCCACTTTTATCATTTCTGTGCAGCAATGCAGCGTTAGTACAGACCAACCATTGATTCTTGCTACAAACCTCTTGAAGTCCTAATCAGCTTCTTTGGTACAACTTTTTCAGAGCTGACAAGCCTATTGTAGGGCAGTGTCACTGTAGGTCAGTAGTTATTAGTTGCCACTGAAAACAGTTTCTTTAACTACTTAAGACTGAACTGAATTAAATGCAGAAGGGACTCAGAAGAGGATTATGGGATCTGCAGTCTAATAAGTACCATGGACTAGGAAGAATGTGACATGGTTTAATAACAAGGGATGTTTGACATGTGTTCCTTCATTGATAAGTTGTATGCTCCTAAGTCAGATGGACTGTACACAACAAGACAGCTAGGCACATTATGAATAATCATGTTAACATCTGTAGAATAATTTTTTAAAAGGCAGCTTTAAAATGTATCATTTCATGATGATTTTGCCAGCATCAGGAAATGCAAAAACAAATTAAGCCCCATCGTAGTAAGGCTACCTTTTTTGCCTTCCCAGTTCTAATCTGTTTTATTTCCCTCTCCTCTGCCATTTTAGCAATTTCTAATCTGTTCACATCTGAAAAGAATAAAGTGTTTTTATAAATGGAGTTATAAATGTTTTTCTCCCTTTAAGAAAACTTTAATTGTTTAGAAACTCCAAAGCCTCGTTTCATTGTTTTCTTCAAAAAGATTTTAAAAACTATGTAATTCAGCATTTATTAATAGTATCAACTATCTAGTGGAAGTCCCATTAAATTTAGTATGACTGACAATGTGTGTATGTATGTTTTGTTTTTAGTATACATGCTAAAAAAACATGCTATTTCATTACCCTCAAAATAGAGCCCATATTCTAAAAAATTAAATGAGTAAGGTGTAAATTTGTCCTAAATTATATACTGGTTTTACCTGTCTTATTGCTCACTGTCTTTCCATATTGATAATAATTGCTAATGTTTATTGTCTGCTTACAAAGTGTTAGCACTGTGTTAATATCCTTTTATAAACATAACTTCATTTATTCCTCCCAGCAACCCATTGAAGTAGATGCTGTTATTTTTACATTTTTATAGATAAAGAAACTGAGGCACACGGAAGTTCAGTAGCTTACCTTGGGTCGCTCTTTCGTGCCATTCTTTACCAAGAAACTTTGCACTGGAACAAAGCTGTCAGAGTATTTACTCTGAGCATAATATAAAGCCATAAGGACTTCAAAGGAAGCAAAGGATCTACTTCCACTTCTAAGACACTCTTTCTTCAGCCCCAAAGGCTCTCCTTCCTTCTGTATACATTAAAGGTTTTCCTAAGATCATCACTGTCCCTTCCCTTGCCCTGACATCCATTGGATTTTGTTCTTATAGTACCCTAGCTAAGTAATGGTATTATTCTGACTGACTTTGTGAACCTAGCAGGTTAGGGACAAGTTTCATGGGGATGTTTTTTGGCTTACTTTTAGTTAGATGTTTAAAATCATGCCTGAAAGCAGAAGTTAAATGTGACCATAGTGGAACTCTATTTTAAAAAATCTTAAATTTAAAAAATCTTAAATCTTAAATTTAAAAAATCTTAAATTTCCTTTATTCATAAGGAAAACTAAGTTTGAATTCAGCCATCCTAAATTTCTCCATTAGCCTATTAGCAGATATATTACATCACTTGTTAAGGCCAACCATTCAGACTTTACAAAACATAGAGGAGAAACGATTATGACTTTACTGAGATACCACAACTAGTAAGTAGTAGAATTCTTTTGAGAAGAAGGTTTTACTGATCCTCACTCAGTTCAGTATATTTCCACTGTACTATTTTGTTTGTGGAGAATCCTATTAGAAAAGAGAATGTTGAGGGTGTCTTTTTTTTTTTTTTTTGAGACAGAGTCTCACTCTGTTGCCCGGGCTGGAGTGCCGTGGCGTCATCCTAGCTCACAGCAACCTCTCACTCCTGGGCTCAAGTGATCCTCCTGCCTCAGCCTCCCGAGTAGCTGGGACTATAGGCACATGCCACCATGCCCGGCTAATTTTTTCTATTTTTAGTTGTTTGGCTAATTTCTTTCTATTTATAGTAGAGACGGGATCTCGCTCTTGGCTCAGGCTGGTCTCGAACTCCTGAGCTCAAGCAATCCGCCTGCCTCGGCCTCCCAGAGTGCTAGGATTACAGGCGTGAGCCACCACGCCCAGCCTTATTTCCTGTTTTGAGATAGTATTTATAATCCTTATATTCATTTGGTTTAAAAATACAACAGAAACATCCCTCCCCCCTCCTCCCCACCCAAAGACAGCCTAGTATTAATACTAAGTGGAGATGTGTCTAGCATTGAGTTCTCTTCATCTCTTGAGTTCTGCACATTGTCTGGGTTCTTCTGAAGAGTGGAGTCCTCTCTTTTCTGGCCGTATGCATGGTAGCCATTTAATTTTTAACTTGTGAGTTATTTGAGTTAGTTACTCATGGAAAAATCTTTGAAAAGTCTTCATTTGCCATATGTATAAATAAAAAATATCCAAATTGGTGGTAGTAGTTATTAATACTTCACATTGCCAGTAACTTTTCAAAACAGTAATTTGGAAACTTAAAAATATTGTTTCCATTCATGACGGCAGATGGCTGAAATAAGTTACCTTAGTTATTAACCACTAATTCTAAAAAGTTAGGATGTGTCTAAATGCACATGTAAGAATAACATCTATTGGATGTCGAGCAAGGGGGAGGAGGGGATGGGTATATGCATACACAAAGAGTGCAACGTGCACCATCCGAGGGATGGACACGCTTGAAGCTCAGACTTGGACGGGGGGCAAAGGCAACATACGTAACCTAAACATCTGTACCCCCATAATATGCTGAAATAAAAAAAAAATAATAAAAAAAAAAGTTAGGATGTGTCAACCTCAACGTGTCCCTCCCAGATCTTAAAATGTATTTCCCTAGACAGATTTTAGTTTGTTTTTGCAAATTAATATAATTAGTGTAGACATAAGATAAACTTGTGGCAAATTAAGGCCTTTCTACCAATAAAAATCAGAAAAGGGTGGTACATTTCATTCTTATTTTGTTCTGTTTATTAATGATTTTTGTCATAAAAGTTATTTTTATCAAAAATGTTATAAGTAGTCCTTTCAGAAAAAGGAGAACTGTGTGTTTTTAAACTTAATTTATTCCTAACCTATTTTTAGAACATAAAATATTTTTAATTGCATTTATAATGTATATTATTCATGCCAGCAGTTTTTCCTGAAATTCAGTTGAGCAAATTTTATAAGACTAGAAAAAGAAAAATCGATTGGTTAATACCATGTGTGAGCTGCATTTTGGGCATGTGGGCTTTGCATTAATGGCCCAGTTGTGATGAACTGTCTTGATCACAGCACAAATCTTAGCCCCTCCCTCCTGCAGAGATCTAAAGAGACCATTCCTGTCTCTACACACAGAGCTGTTCTTGCTAAAACAGATGAGGCATTCTTACTAAAATATATTTGTACTAATAATGAACTTGAAAAACAATTAAAAGCCCTAAACATATGCATTTGCTTTCCAAGACAGACTTATTTTTAATTTTATTTTGAATTGCTTACAGTAAATTATATTATTAGAGCTCTGGTTTCAGCCACCAACTGTAGAGAATAACTTTGGCCTTTCTAGAGTTCTTCAGAGAGCTGTTCTTCTCCTCGAGCCATCACACAAAAATAATTATCTTTGGTGTTTTTTCTTAATAAAGAGAAGGCAAGCTCCAAGTGAAGAGAGGAGAGTTGGGGGATAGAGAGGATGGATTCAGGCTTGAATAGCTGTGAGAAGAATTCATTACCAGTGAGCCCAACTTCAGGCTTTTTCTCCTAAGACCTTGGAAGTGAAATTCTTATGCTGCTATGGTTATAAACTAATAATAAACTAATACCAGCTAGTCAGCACTTTATTGAATTTATAGTTTTATCAAATTTTTCCCAACATCTTCAGTGGCCCCAAAGGTTCTAATGTTAAAATATACTAGAGTATTTTGCTTCTGTTTATTCTTTGTAGTGACTTCTATAAAAATGAAAGTCGAAGAAGGTGCCACAAGGAGAAATGGTGATTGCCTCTAGAAGGCATATCTTCGCTACGTTATGTGACAATTTTTAATTAAGTTATGAGTTAACACATTATACCTGTCACTTTGTGTCTACAAAGTTAAAATAGGTACTTGAAGACAATTAAAACATTTCTTTCAACTAATAATCTGGGACAGCAAACTAGGTTATAATAGCTGTTGAATCTGTGTTCCCATGTAAACTGTACACCAAATGCCAGTCAGCCCATGCCAATTAGTGCTCATGTTGCTAGGTCACCGTGGTCAATTGAAAGCTGCATCAATAGAACTTGAAAAGGTTTCCTCCCAATCAGACCTTCTGACATATTGAGCAGAATAATGGATGGGAAAAAACAGCCAACTCCCCTACCCTGGATTCAAAATACTCAGCAGTAAGAATTCATTTGCAACCTGCAATTAACTAGAAAGAATGGATCCAAGAAGGAGCCTGGGCATTTTTGAAAATAAAGCGTCATTCTCCTGTCTCGTACATGTTTGCTCTTTGGATAGCATCTTAAATGTAGCCAACTTGGTGATCTTGGGTCCAAATATTTAAGTGACTAAAAAGGAAATTTCACAATTTTTTGTTTGAAACTAAACAAAAATAAGTTTTAAAAGCCAAAACATCTGACTCCATTGAATTTACCTTTCATAATAAATGTTGGTACTTCTCGAAACATATTAGACTATATTAGACTATACTGGATAGAAGAGACATAAAGGCCATTCTGATACTATTATATATCCCACAGGATAGGCAAATTGGATTGTCCTAAAATTTGGAAATGATACCTGCTAGTTTTAGGCTTTGTGCTGTATTAATAGGCTTGACTTCTAATGCAAACATGGTGCTTTTCCACAGAGGCGTTGGAGCTGAACCTCTGCTGCCATGGAACCGGATGCTCCAAACCCAAAATGCAGCCTTCCAGCCAAACCAGTATCAGATGATAGCAGGACCTGGTGGGTATCCACCCAGACGAGATGATCGTGGAGGGAGACAGGTAATAATAGGATGGGCTATCGGATGAGAAGCATATTGCTCACTTTTTATTTAAACAAGCCTCCCAGGAGTCCATATTTTCTTACCAACATTCTGGAGAAGATATTGATAGAGCAGCCCATCTGAACTTGGATCTGTCATTAAAAATGTGTGTAGGGTTAATACCTACCTCACTGAATAGATTTTGTACCTTGAGCATGATGAGAAATTTCCAGCCCAGAAACCCTTTTAGTCATAGCAGTCAGTGATAATTACTCCAAATATGTTCAGTCACCAAAACATATTTTTTTTCCTTTTAACAATATTGGGGTTTTGTTGTTTTTTTTTTTTTAAGACAGAGTCTCACTCTGTTGCCCTGGCTAGAGTGAGTGCCCTGGCATTAGCCTGGCTCACAGCAACCTCACACTCCTGGGCTCAAGCGATCTTACTGCCTCAGCCTCCCGAGTAGCTGGGACTATAGGCATGCGTCACCATGCCCGGCTAATTTTTTCTCTCTCTATATATTTTTAGTTGTCCAGATAATTTTTCTATTTTTTTTTTTTTTTTTTTTTTTTTTAGTAGAGACGGGATCTCGCTCTTGCTCAGGCTGGTCTCGAACTCCTGAGCTCAAACAATCCGCCCGCCTTGGCCTCCCAGAGTGCTAGGATTACAGGCGTGAGCCACCGCGCCCGGCCTAACCATATTGGTTTTTAATAGAAACTAGATCCCACATAGTAGATGATAATTTTCTGGAAGCTGAAAGAAAGAATCTACCTTTTCAGCTGTTGTCTTTATTCATCTTAGAAGTTTCCTGTCTTGATTCATCTAATATTCCTTCTCATGAAAAGAATCTCTTCTTGGTAATTTTCCATATATTAATATTTTTCTATTAAATGTAAACAGCTATATCATTGAATGCGTATCATAATTCCTAGACATTTAGTAGATGTAAGCTTCATTTCCTTCTCTCCATAGCATTAGTTTTAGCAGCATTTAAGACTAAGGTCTATTTGGCATAATTTCTTCCAGCAGTTTGACACCCTGGCCAGTATTTACATGCTCTTTAATCGAATCCTTGCTAGAGAACAGATTGGAATGCTGTGATTCAGAGTGTGTGGTGTTTGTGGAGTTTGGCACCTGCAGTGATGTGAAGTGGTTTTAAAATTGCCTACCTGGTATTGCCTACAGGCCTTTTGCAGTGCTTTGCATATTAATTTGTGAGCTCTCTCTTCTAAAAGCTAAAGGAAATGTTCCTTTATACTTTTTCGATGTACTCTTACAAGTCTCTGTCTACCTTACAGGAAAATAATCATCTTAATTTCAAATAGTTAATGCCTTTTGAGAGGATTTTGTTACAGTTCATTTAAATCACTTCATAGTATTTTACTTTGAATTCTTTCAACCCAAGACTTCCAAAAATTATATCAATAAATTGAGGCTGTGTATATTTTTAGAGTCTAAATGGCACTAGTTAAATAAATAAAATAATTAAATAATGAACATTTTTGAAATGAAGTCGTATTTATAACCTGAAGAAACCTTGGACAGTGTTTAGTCTAGTCACCTCATTTTCCATGTCAGGGATGGAAACCCTGAAACCCCATACAGTTTGGCAGCAGAGCTGGGGGCAGGCTGCCTAGACTGTTGCCCCAGTTCATCAGCTTTCTGCCTCCTTCAGAGGGGATCTTCCCTTTAAAGGAGCTCTCTGCTCTTATGGCTTAGAAGATATAAACCAATTGATAAATTTGATTTTTTTCAGGACTTTTTGGAAATACATTCCTTTTTTCTCAGTCTCTTTTTCATTGAGTTACTTTTTATTAGATCACAATTGTTGAAGCACTATTAAATTGTAGAAGTTCATTGTTAAAAACAGAATCACAATTTCATTGTATTTTTAGTTTGTATGACTAGCCTACATTGTGGCTCATATTCATATTATAAATTAAAATACTGAAATGCTCTGAGCAGCGAAATGGGAAGGGGATCCATTTTAGAACCATGGAGGCCTAGAAAGAGAATTATGATAAAGAGATGCCACATTTATCTTTTGTTATACAGATATGTTACTTGCAAGTATACCTAGGGTATGTTATAAAGGTCACCACTAATTGCTTATGTAATAGCTTTAGTATGTTACTTAATACTCTATTATTTATTGCCAAACAAAAAATATTTTAAATTAATTGGTTATTTGGCCTTAACTGACTTACTATTAGTAAGCTCTTGCCTTGGTTAAGCAAAGTGATTTTCCTAGTGTAGTTATGTCTAAAGATGATGCGGTACCTTACCATGGTGTGACTTGAATTACTGGTAGCAGTGGTGGGAAAACTTAGAACCACTTTCTCTATACATGCTGTTTACATGAAGCACTTAACTATAGTTCATTTATGTACATTTTAGGGAATTTTTAAAGTATGGTTATTAAGGTTTCTTTGGTTAGTTTTCAGTGATAACATCTGTGCTAGTCTCCAACTTTGCAGCAAGCTTGTGTTAAAGTTCTGGATCAAAGCAGCTGTTTTGTGGACTTTCCATGTGCCATGCTTTTCTTCTTTTTTCTTTTTTTTCCCCTGTGTTTTGGCCATGGGAACCATGTGCCATACTTTAAAGACATGCTCAGCTCCTTTATGATGTGTTTTTCCATGGAGATGTAAAATTAACTTACTTGCAAGGGTATTAATCCAGAAAATAAACTCTTTCTTTTGTTTGTTTTCAGGGATATCCCAGAGAAGGAAGGAAATACCCTTTGCCACCACCCTCAGGAAGATACAGTTGGAATTAAGCTTTTGTAAAGCTTTCCCAAATCCTTTCATCCTTCTACAGTTTTATGCTATTTGTGGAAAGGAGATTTCTTTCTCAAGTAGTAGTTTTTAATAAAACTTACAGTACTTTGTGTATTTCTTTTAATTGTGTATATTTCTACTGACCTGATCTCACTGTTTATGTTGCTTTCCAAAGATGTGTGTTGCATAATACAGTGGATCTGAATTTATTACTGCTTGTAAAACACATTTGATGGAATAGAAGTACTGGTTTTTCATTATGGTTAAAAATCAAACCAGCTGTGGATTTCAAAACACAGTGTATTCTAGATCATCTAAGATCCATGCTGATTTTTAATGCGCAAGAATTAGGTATGCACTCTTGAGCTGGAACCCTCAGCAAATTAGAGTATATATTGTTCAGTATTTCTTTGGAAACATTTCATTAATGTACTTGTCCTATAGAAATTTCTGGACTTTAGTAAAAAAATAAAGTGAAACTTTAAAAACTCTGGTCTCTTGTGTTCTTTTTCTTTTATAGTATTTCAGCTTTGAAAATCTTGACCAAACATGTTTTTTTAAATCAGCTTTTGCTGAAAACTATTTATTTCTACAGTTAGATGTCAAAAGCAAGTCAGTGAAGAAGTAGATTTTAAGAGGATATGATCAGCAAGACAATCCAACAGAAACTTACATGTTCTTGTTAACCATTTGGCTAACTATAAAATCCTTATGAGAATATATACATTTCTACAAAGTTTGTATGTAGATTTGTGTTTTAGTTTTAAGGACTTTGTTTTAAATCTTTAGGAAAAGTTGAAAAATTTGATTCCTAGCTAAATAGTCTGTGCTCTCTTAGCATTTTATTTTATTTTTTTCGTAGTAGATTTCAATTTGTACTCATTTTTTCCTTGCTACTAAGCACACTGTAATTCCTTAAATATATGTTTGGAGTTCACATACAGCACTTACATACGCCATTTTTGATTGCTAAAACAAATTTAGACACACTTACAGACTTGCTTTGTTTCCATTTTTCCATCTTAGCCTAAAATTGTAAGATATAAAGTTTCTCTTTGACCTTGTGACTTAGGACATTTTTGCTTTAATATTCAAATAAAGCACACTTGTTAATCTTGGTCTATGTGGGAAAAAATCTCACCTTAATCTCAAATAGGAAGGTATTTTGAAGCTACTGAGTTCATTGCTAATGATGGGTGAATAGAGCAGGATCTTTTATTGTTGAGACAAAGGGTCTCTTCATTAGGAATCACTACCACACCATTACATATCACTTGACATTCAAATGATAATGCCTTCTGCTATTAAATTTCTCTGTAAGTTTATCTTCTGAAATATTAAAAATGTATAATCATCTTTATATAAAGCACTGTATATTCCAAAGGAGCCCATAAATGTCTGTGTATAGCTTCATAGTTACCCAAAACCCACACTTCTACCCTTTATATTTTCTCAGACTTTTTTTATTTTACGCTATCGTGAGACTATCTTTAAAATAATTCCGTTTTTGACTGAATGTTTAAAGCATTGGTTTGAAGACATGTAAGCAAAAGGCCTGGTGGAAGAAAATGATGAGTAGATTTCCTCTGCAATCTGCAGAACAGGTGGGTGTGCCCTGAGGGCAGGCACCTACCAGCTATCTGAGCCCTCACTTCAGGCCCTGCTCTGTACCTTCACCCTTCCTTCCTCTCCTTCCTCAGTCTTCATCTCTTTCTAACTTGTTGCTAGTTTGAATCTTCCAGAAAAATGCCCTGTTAATTTCAACAAGTAAAATCCCTTTTAGAACTTTAAGTGGATATTCAAGGCTGTAAATATCTTCAAATTTTGATGTAAGAATAAAGTCAATGGGCCAATTTTAAGTAGTTAATTGTACTCAATTATACTTAGCACATTTTTTTCAGGGTTTCATATTAAAGATTTTAAAAAAAACTTAGAACCTGGAAACAGCCTGACTATTGTGGCACTAAGGGCCCGTAATGAGCAGTTGTCTTCCCTTTAAAGATCAAATGGGGTAATATATATTAATGTGCAAAGCCGACTACAAACTGGTATTAGATTGCCATTTAACGTTACAAAGCCAAATTGAGTGTAATAACCGATTGGTTAACTTTCATACGATGACATGGGACGTCAGGAACAGGCCAGGGTGGGACTGGGGGTCTCGTGCTCCGCTTTTTAGCAGGGCCTGGAGGCGATGCGCGCTTGGACTGAACTGAAGGGCCCCGGGGGTTGGGGCTCAGCGACTTCGCAAGCGAGGCGGGGGATGGGAGCAGCGGGATGGTGCGGTGGGGACAGACGGGTTGCTTCTCAAGGTCCTAAGTCCTTCGCCGAATTTTCTTCCCAGCGAGGCGGGGAAGCGCTCGGCCCTCGGTGTATGTGGGGCACGTGCCCGGCGCCCAGGTCTCCCTCGCGCTGCGGATCCCGCCGATCGCCAACCCGGGAGCCCCGCGAGCTGGCGGCGTGAGCAGGCTGGGCGCGGGAAAGCGCCAACCTCCGACCCTCGGGGTGGCATCATTTTTTCCGTTCCCTGGATGCGGCGCCGCAGTTTCTTAACTTGCCCAGTTTCCTCTCAACTCCCTGTATAAATGGAAGCACTGCACCTGTAAGAAAATATTGGAAACGTTCTTCCTTCCGTGGCTACTGTTTTAAGTTCGAAGCAGACTTCTGAATGTAACCTAATTGTTAGTTATGCTTAGAAATCTAACACATAGTCATTCTCTGAAGAGTCAGCTTAAAGTCCCCATTCCCAGGCTGCGGAGTGGCTATCTAGCTAGGTCCCGCTGGTTTGACACCTCTTGCCTACAGCAAAAGCGTCTTGGAGCTGAGATCCCGTCACTCTATTCCTGGTGATAAACCGCTCTGCTATTTCTAACCAGGAAAAAGGTCAACAAATGAATGAAATAACAAATCGCCCATTCTCTATGGACTTTTTCCTCCACTCAGGGTAAAGTGGCTTGTTCCCCAATGCGGTATTTATGGAAGGAGGGCCAAGAGAGAACATGCTTTAAGTGGGAATAGAGCTATTCACTACTGCAAAATAGTTTGCACAGCTTAAATTTGGGCAATGTTAGTGGTTAAACTTTTATTAGAAGTCACCTAAACAATTACTGAAATAAGAGGTTACATGGAAATTAAAAAACATAAAAGGCATTTCATTTACTTGCAGGTAAACATTCTAAAGCAAAACCAAAAAACCTCTCCCAGAAACTTTCATTACCTCTAAACTTAAAAATAATAGAAACAAAAGTGATCTTGAAATCACAAAGTTATCTCAATACTTAACTGGAGAGAGCAAATTCTTCATGAGATGTGGATGCAGTTCCTAGTCTGGGCATCTTCTTTGAAACTTCCTCAGATGCTCACCAATTCTCACTAGCAGTAACAGGCTACTTATGTTTTATAAAATGCATCCTATGTCTCTGTCTCTCTGGGTGTGAGGATGGTAAGTAACAGCTTTTCAAAAATCTGGACTCAGTTGACATACAGAGTGTTAATGTCATGTTCAACAGCTGGGAATATCATCTATGCTTTGAACTTCATCTGAAATTTATGTTGTCACCATATGATGCATTATTTTCTCTTAGGCACAAATTCATATTTAAAAATCCAGTTGATAGGTCTTTATATAACCATGGTTCACAACTTTATTCTAAAAGTCTTTCTAAATCATCAGTATTCAATTCAGTTAACAAGCAAGTCTATGGAAGGTGCTTGCATTTAGTGAACAGGATTGAGTCTCTGATTTGCTTTAAATTGAAAGTAAACAGATGCTAGCAGAATAGAATTTGAACACAGCATCTGTGTTGGTAGAAGTCTGATTGACTACTTGCTCTGACCATTAGGTTTTAGTTCTAAGCAAAGCCTTAAATAGAAGACAACTAGGTTACACCCCCACCCTTCCATACACAAAACACCCTTCTTGTGTCCTTCAAATCTGCACACACTCTCACATGCACACTTTAATTTACATCCCAACACAGATTACAGAAAAGTACCTGCAATCCCTGCTGTTCCTCTTTGCAACTTTGATTCTGGGTTTTGGTTTCCATGCCTCAATTGAAAAAGATAAGTTAGATTGTTGTAAAAACCCAAAACATCTAGGAAAATGTCATATCTGCAAAGTTAGCATTTCAGAAGCTGAGGTTTGCTGTGGTCTCTGCTAAACTTTGAGGGGGCTTTGTTCCACTCAGACCCTGCGCCAATCCTCCCTCTTGGTTGTGGAGACACTTATCCTCCTCTTCAGTTAATGAGTTTCACCTAGTCTGGCTGTTTGTGTTTTTATAAAAGATCTGCAAAGCACTAATTGCAAAAGAAGAAAAAAGCTCCTGTGTTGCGTTCATCAGAAGGTGGAATTATATATTAAAACATTTTCTATTTTAATGTTTCAGAATTAAACCTTTTCATAATTTTAGGATATGTATACATAAATTCAGTAAGTCTCTGCATGTATAATGCTAAGTCCTCTGCAGCAATTACTTCTCACTTGAGTCTTTTACTACTTAAAGGAATGCTGAAAGGAAATAGATATGCCTACACCAAATATTTCAGAAAATATTGTATAAAATGACATTTTTTTAATGGTGACATTTTTGAAAGAGAGTTCACTTCTTCAGTCAAAGGGATTCTTTGTACCAGAAATAAATTATTGAGCAAAAAACTACCCATGAAGATTCATTTTCTTTAAATATATTACCCGGAGCCTTTAAGCCATAAGGTATTGTTCTTGTAGGTATAGGGCTGTAAAAAAAAATTATTGCAAACTATGTGGACTTTTAGAACATGTTAACATGTTTTATAAAAGTAAAATTTCAGAATTCTGGTACTATTATGAGGAAATCAAATTGACACAAACAAGCATTTTGAAATTTGGTACATCAGTAATAGTTTTGCTAGCTTGGTTAACATTTCTAAAGTCATTTCCATTAATATACAAAAACCCAAGTTGGGAGAATTTTTTGTAGGTGTATTGTACCATTTTCATACGAATTTGTTTGCTCAAATTATTTCTTCTTATATAAAAGTTTTGAAAATTAGATCTCATTTTCCAAAAATGTATTCACAGTCTCTTGATAAAGGGTGATTCCCTTGCTTCTGTAGTGGTCCCCCTCCCCCCAGCCCCACCCCGCGAAAGGAACTGGACTTATTTCTTAAAAATTACTATATAAAATACGGTTTAGAGAAAGCGCAAGTTTAACTTCTAAAACACTTTCCTATGGATACACTTTGCACATTTAGAAAAATGCTGTAATAATTAAGTCAAAAACAATGTTTCAGCCCTAACCTGTAATCCTAAAACCTCAAATGTAGTACTGTTTCGATCATTTATAAATCATACTTAATCCATGTTCTTTCTTTAATTTTCATTAATTTTATAAGCTCACGTTTTCTTTAGCTTTTAATATTTTTACTCCAATGCCAGTTATTTAAATTATGAGTAAATTGAGCTGTGTTATTACATCATGCCAACTAGGGTAAAAAAAAAAAAAAACACCACAAAACCCTATACACTTAATGAAAAAGAAAAGACCACTTGACTTTTAGAAAAAAGTACTTAAGGTTCTTTTAAGTTATATTTAAATATCCATTTGAAACATAGGAAATATAAAGTGGCATATTAAAGAGTAAATACATTATTTATACAATAAAACACCAACAAAATCAGTGCAATTCCTATTAAGTTCTAAATATGATGAAAAAATTATATTTTAGTTATCCTTTATATCTTGATTACAATTCAACAAATCACCTTATTCTCTTTTTGATATGCTTTGAAATATAGATTGATGTCAATTTTAGCCTTTTACTTGCTTGTTCTAGTACTTTATCAAGGTATTCAAATTCAGACAAGAAAATACCTCAAAAGATTAAATACCATGTCTACAGAAGGATGGGGTGTATTTATTTTGTCAGTTGATTTTGGGAGACCAGATATCATATACAAAGATGTATACGACCCTTTTCTTCTTATGGGGAACTGCATCTTAGGGAAGAAAATCCTCTTACAAACACTCATTTGCCAAACAGTGATCAAAACATTTTGAAATCAGCATTAAATTTAAAAAGTTATATAGATCCATATCATCAGTATTTTGATTATTATTCCATTGCTCTATTACCTAAATGGCAATAATTCCTCTGCAATAATGTTACTATGGATATGATCCACCTTGAGCTACAATTTACTTTCTATCAAACATTATTAAAATTGCACTTGGGGGGGCCCTTCGAAAATTAATCTCCCGAGATAAATTCCATTTCAAAAAGGATTCATTGTTAAATGAACGAAGCTGGGTTGATTTTTACAGCTACAAACACCAACAAACTTTCCAACTCTTAAAACTCTTGAGAGCTGTGGTTAAGAACTTGGTGGATGTGAACTCCGCCAGCTTTTCGCATAATTTAGGAACTTGTGGAAGGAGAAAATCACCACCTCAAAGCCTCCTGGTGTGATGTTACATTATTCAGTCCCAGGGCTGTCGCTGTCCCCCACCCCCAGCAAAGACGTTCAGAGTTTGCCCCTCTCCAAGACCCGTTCGTTTTTGATCTCTGTGTACATAAGAGTCAGCTTCCGCACATATCCCTCATCCGTTTTAGCAGTTTCTTGCAGACCCTTTGGCCAGGTAGGACCCCGCCCCGGGGCGCCCGCGCTGTCACCACGTTCTGCCATAGAGCAGGTTAGCGCCCAGCACACCGCCGCCGTAGTCCCCGGCGGACGCGTCCAGGGCCGCCAGGCCGCCTCCCGGGCCGTGCAGTGCGGGCGGGCTGGGCGACAGCTCCTCGAGCTCGGGCGCGGGCGTCGGGGCCGGCGGCTGCGGGCCGGCCTGGCCAGGTGTCGGCGTGCTGGCGCCGTTCTGGCACGGCTTGCCGTCCTTGACCAGCACCGGCACGGCCACGCGGCGCGGCGACGCCGGCTGCGGCGGCGGGCCCAGGCCGCCCTCCTGCTGCAGCTGCTGCGCCGCCTTGTCCTTCGCCTGCCGTTTCATCTTGTAGCGGTGGTTCTGGAACCAGATCTTGACCTGCGTGGGCGTCAGGTGGATCATGCTGGCCAGGTGCTCGCGCTCCGGCGCCGACAGGTACTTTTGCTGCTTGAAGCGCCGCTCCAGCTCGTAGACCTGCGCTTGCGAGAAGAGCACGCGGCGCTTCCTTCGCGGCGCCGCCGCCGCCGCGTGCAGCGGCGCCAGCGACTTGGCGGCATCTGCGATGCCAGTCAGCGACCCCATGCCGGCCACGTTCACGCCTGTCGACGGCCCCATGAACCTGGAGACTGGGGAGGGGACCCAAGCGGGAAGGCTGGTGAGCTCCAGGCCGGCCGGGAGCTGCTCCCGCCGCCACTCTCTTCGCACCACAGCGGCCGCGACGCCGCCAGGTCCCGGCTGGATCCCAGGACCCCCTGTGCACCGCGACCCTTGGCCCCAGCACCCTCCGCGCGCCCAGGCACCCAGCACCCCCCGCGCGCCCTCACCGAGTCCGAGGACACCGCGCGCGGTCCCAGTCGGGTCCCAGGACCCCAGTGCGCGCCGGCTCAGAGACTTCCAACCCGCCAGCACCCCCGGGCTGTGGCAGGAAGTGCCCGCGCCGCCCGCCTGCCCTCAGTCCCGCGCTCCTGGCCCCGCTCACTTGACGAGTAGCGCGGGTCCGGGTTGGTGCCGTACCAGCCGGTGGCCGCGGCGGCCGCGCCGCCCCGCATGCCGTCCGTGTAGGCGGGCAGCTCGCCCATGTTGCCCAGGCCGCCGTTGCAGTAGCCGCCCATGGCGCTGTGCGGGAACTGCGAGACGCCCGGCGGCATGTGGTAGGTGGCGGCCGCGGCGGCGGCCGCCGCTGCCGCCGCTGCCGCCGCCGCCGCGTTGTGGCCCGCCATGGTGTGCGGCGGCTGCATGCCCGCCACGGCCGCCGCCTGCGAGGAGGGGCCCGGCGGCGGCGCGCGGTAGGCGGCTGCGGCCGCGGCCCCCAGGGACGCCCCCAGGCCGGGCGGCGCGCCGTCCATGGCGCCGCCGAACTTCTTGTAGGTCTCCTCGATGGGGCTCAGGATGTCGGACACGGAGAAGGGCGTCGTGTGCTTTGGGCTCAACGACATGGCTCGGCGGACGGCCAGGTAGGGGGGCCCGGGGCGGGCGCGGGCAGGACGCGGCGGCCACTGGTCGCCGCCACGTCGGCCGCGCTGGTAGCGCCTGTGACGAGTATTCAGCGGCTCGGCGAGCCCCTAGAGCTGCGGGATCTGGGGTTTATTTTAGTCCAGCGCCAGGTTTACGACAGACTCGGGGGGCGGAGCAACATCCCAAACGAGCAAACAATGATCATTGACATCTTTTTCTCTCGCCCCCTCTCCCTATAATGGAGGCAAAAAGATAGAAGGGGCAGTTGGATGTTTCATGAAAGGATCACCCCCCTTTGCTTTCTCCATCCTTAGCGCCTTTATCCGCAGCAGTTACCCCAGCCCTTGAACGCCAGTGATGAAAACTCAGAGGCTGGCGTCGAGGCTAGACGTGAAGGACTCTGTGCTTGTCTCCATCCACACCCCAGTTTTCCTAGTGACTTCCTAGCAGAGTGCGGTGTAATGGGGGAGGGGATTGTGCTGCTAAGTTTTGCAGGGGGTAGTTTGCAAGGCACGCCTTGTCCTCTCCAGTTACCAGCCCCTCACTGGCTCCATCATCTAAAGTGTTAAAAAAAAAAGGGCTCTTGGGTCCCACCATAAGAGCACATAAAGAGAAGAGGTACAATGACCGTCCTCTGCCATTGTAGGGCTCCCTAATTTATGCATCTTTAGACCCTTAAGCATCACTTTGTGGGCAACCAAACGGGCACTTCCAAATTAACTCAAAGTATCCAAATCCAAAGAAGAGAGAAAACACACATGCAGACACTGACAAATACACAGATGCTAACTTGTAAGTATTCTGATTTTACTCTGTGGGGATGGAGATTGAACAGGGAAAGAGGGTACGTTTTTTATTTGCTAAAATGTTTCATGTTCAATTTGCACCTGTAAAGTTTTTTACTGCTTTCTTTCCCTTTGTTCTCGTTCTCTTCGCCCTGCCCCTGTAAATATAGAAATATCTGACTTAGGATTTATTCCTCTGTCACTTCCATGGTCAAAAAGAAGAGAAAGAAAAAAAAAAATCCCTGAAATTCCAAATATTTCTACTTGTTTCTAATGGTTCTTTTTGATGTTGTTGGAAAATATAACCTGTTCAAGGAATATGAAAATGGATGCAGAAATCAGGTGAAAATGGTAATTGCTCTTGAAAATTACAAAACCATAGATAAACTGATTTAAAAAACTTTGTCATCCTTTGACTTGCAAATTTACCTGCTGCCTGGTAAAGAAGAATGTAGAGATTATGAACTCTCTACCAAATGCTGAACAAGACAAAGAATAAGACAAAAGAAGTGTGCAAAGCATGTTTACTAAATTTTGAAAACGATCTTGCAGCAAAAAAAAAAAAAAAAAAAAAACCCATAGGGAAACAAAGATACAATTTTTAAGTTTTCCTAGAGACTGGAACCAGAGAAAGAAAAATATGGAGACTGTTTTCTTAAGCAAGATACTATTGTGGTTCTTTTAAAATAAAAAGGAAGAAAAGGATGTATGAAAACAGTTTAACATGACAGCACATGTTTTGAAGGCAAGAACAGTGTTACTGATTCCTTTTTCTGTTTGGTTTCAGCCCTTTGGTGGGAATGTCCTTCATGGTTTTGATCTTATTGTCTTAATCATTGTCTTGTTCATTTCAGTGTAGTTTTGCAAAGAATCTGCCCTTTCTAGGGGAGGAAAAAGCCATATAGTCACCTATGGGAAGAAAGTGACAACACTAGCCCAGTGTTTAGAGTAATATACTGAAAGAATAAAATGCAAGGTTATATGAATTATTTATAGACATCAGTTATTGACTTAGCAAGATTAGTATTGCTACAATTTTAACATGATGCTACTTTTACAGGTCTTTCCTGAACTTGAAACACTTGGGCTAGGTCTTCATCCTTACCTGCACTGGAATTGCCTACTTACTTTTTGTTAATTAATGGTACACAAAGGAGCATTTATGTATGTATTTAAGCAGTTGCTGGGATCCTTCTGAAAACTACAGTTTGGCTTTTAAGTTTTTGGTTTAGTTCAAATTGTGTTGTTTGCTTGTATTTATTAGCTTAAATAAAAAATAGTAGAAGATCATTTCAAACTTTTCCTAGAAACAACAGGGTAAGTAAAAAACAGTTGTTATAACATCTGTGAATATAAAAGTCACTTGTGAACCATTATGTTTTATTTTTCAAGTTCAAACATATTTAAAAAATGCAACCCATTATCATAATCTTCATGTTGATTAGTTGTCCAAATTGAAAAAGTGTTTACAATTATAATTTTTTCCAGATGATTATTTTCTCTATTTTCAGGCTATACATTTTATCTCATGTAGTTTTCTTTATAATTTTGATACAGAATTTACATCAAGTGGTTATATTCTAAATTGTTGCTCATTTTGTTTTTCAACCATTTTGGATCCTGTTACAAGCGCATTTACATCTGGAATGCTCCATCTTTAAATATAAAGAAAAGCACTTTATCATATCTGAAGATTCTCTGCAGAGGGTCACTTTCTGACTGCTTAGGAACTTGATAAGCTAAATACTATTCCTTCGCTGGAGGTGAACAGTTCTGAGGAAAAAAAAAATCTACAGTCTTCAACATTTTTCCCTATCAGTTATTTGTGTCTCACTCTGGAAGTTATCTATCTTTATGCTGAAAACACTATTTGGATATGTGGCGATGATTCTGAAAATAGAAGTAGTTTGAAGGATGTATATGTACACTTATATACAGACACAAATTAAAACAATCCAGTTGATATTTCATTAAAGATTTTTATTCCATTTCATCTGATTATTGTCTGCCTAAATTATGTATGGAAATTTATACTTAGTAGATTCTTGAAAACTATTGACTAAATTGGATTTCACAGGAAATTTATTTCTGAGGAATGTTTTCTTGTTTTGTTTTTGTTTTTTTTAAAAACAATACTAGCACTGGGGGTGGGGGAAGCACATACTATCAAAGGGAATACAGTGAAAAGAGATGGCTTTCATTCTCCTATCCTCCAGTTCTCCTCAGAGGCATTTGGCATTACCTGTTTGTTCTGGGATAGTCTATACATCTGGAAGCATACCACCATTTTATAAACAAGGGATAGCATGATCTATGTGATTTTTTACCTTGCTTTTTTCATAGCTTTTGTAGTTTTACATATCACACTTGACACTGAAAACTTAGTAAGATAGGCTGTGACAAATACAGAAAATTTTTCTAGACAAAAAAATTCAGTAGGATCTCTTGGCTTTCTGACAAAAATGTGGTATTTATTGAAAATCTCTGATGTGTTAGTTAACTTTACAGCCCAAAATATTTGGCAAAAAAGTTCTGAAGAAGGAGCCTTCCCCAGAGTTGGGAATTGCTGTTGTCAGACAGAAGCTCAGCAAAAGGGGCCTGGGAGTTCAGAAACTTCTGACATATTCACTTTGAAGTGGGGTTCCAGCCAATACTTAGAAGGAAATTATGTTTTTCTAGGAGACAAATGGATTTCTAATGGGTCCTGAATTTCCTCATCAAGACAAACTGTGTTTGAAAATGTAACTTTCTGCTTGATACTCAAGAACATAAATGCCTTTTAGAAATGAGACATTTGCTGAATTTGTGATTAGTTTAAAATAGTTGTGAAATAATTTGATTAATAAAATTCTCATTGTGAAAGCAGCTTAAAAATAGCATCTTTGCAGTTGGGAAGGGATAAAGAAACATGTCAAGGACATTAGTATTTTGTAGCAAAATTTGAGGTTATAAAGAGGAAAACAGAACTGCCATGGAGATGAAACATGAAATTAATTTTAATTATTTTAATTTTTTTTTGCTAAATTCACCAGTTTCTGAAATGTGGTTCTCATTTCTTTTTAGTCCCCCTAAGATCTTTTTGTTTTAAATGTTCATTTCAATGATTTTAAGTTTCTTATGGTCATTTTACACTTATATGACTTTGTTATTCTATGTGACACAGTAATCCTTTCATATTTTCTTTACAAAACGTAAACTCCTTGCAATGTAACTACTTTTAAAAAAATCTTGTCACCCTGAGATTCAGAATTTTAAATTGAAAGTCATTTTCTGTTTTCTGACCAATGATTATTGTGACCAATGAATATATTTTAAATTAACACAATTATTAGTACAATGTGAGAATGAATGGTAAGTATTAAAGACATTGTTGTTGTCTAAATCATAATAATGAGGTCCAATGAAAGGATTCCTCTTCTCCAAAACAAAACAAAACAAAACAAAACAAGTTAACCTCCCCTTCTGTGGCCAACCTGTAGCACTCGTTTTTATAGTCATGGTAGAGAATAACATTAGGTTATAACAGGGGGATTGAAATAAGAAAATTATCCAGTGTGTTCCAATTCTCTCAACCTATGAGCTTGAATAGGATATTTAAAATTTTCTGTTTTAAAAATTATTTTTTTGAAATAATACATGATACAGGAAAATTGAATACAATTTTTATTTCCGAATAACAAGTTTACTTGTATATCTTGCTTATATAGAAAGTTTAAAACATTTAAGAATATAATGGCATTTCTGCTGAACAGTATCTTTGATTTTTTTACGTTTTTTGAATGTCATTAAATATCTCTTATAGAAGAAAAAAGAATCCTTTGAATTTTGAAAAACACCGTATTTCTATTGATTATTTTGTGTGAGGAGTTAGTTATTCTAAATGTTCTACTATATCTCCATACATACTTAAGTAGAATGAATGCATATAGCTTTTAAAACTATACACTTTTATAACTATCTTCTCACATGCTGTCAAGTTTTCCAAATCTAAGAGGTTCAAGTGAATTTGGTGTCAAGTCTCTTTCTCTCCTGTAAGTGTCATTAAAGATGTATCACTTTACATTTATAAATTAATTTGTAATTATCAAGAAAGGTATCAGCTTTTATATCTGAGCTAAGTAATTGGGTTATTTTGTTGCCATTACTTACCTGAAGGAGAACTCCAATTTTGATGTTTTAGTAAATTGATTATTAGGTTGT